CCTTTAAAAACGTAAATCCACGCTCCACACCGGTGCCACCATTTATCATGTGGGAGTTCGACACGTGGATTAGGTAAAGAAATACTCACGTAGGCTGGTAGTACGTATAATTACAGATAATGTGTGTAACGCCCTTACAGCCGTGACCTATCTCCTTGCTCACACTCGTAACACTGACTGACTGGCCGCCCACGTACCCATAGAGGGTCTTTGAATAATGCCAGGTCAGCTCAATATGAATAGACAGTGACTCAGGCAGAGACGGTTGGTCATGAGTCAACTGGCACAGTGGTTACTGGTAACTGGTTACTACTACTGAGACAACAACAACATTGTTAACAATAATGTTAACAGCACCAACAATGTAACACCATTAACAATGTTTACATTACAACAATATTAACAGCAAAAACAATGTCAGCACCAACAACAAAAATGTTAATAACAACAATGTCAACACAAACAACAATGTGAAGACCTTCAACATTGTTAACAGTACAACAATGTTAACACCAACACCAATGGAAACAACAAGAATGTTAACACCAACAACGATGTTAATACCAAAAAACGTTGTTAACAGAAACAAAAACAATGTTAACAACAACAACAATGTTAACAACAAAAAAAATGCTAACACCAACGATGTTGACAACGAAGACAATGTTAACTCCATCCACGATATTAACACCAGCAACAATGCTAACAGCAACAATATTGTCAATAATACTGTTAACATTACAACAATACTAACACTGGAGTTTATCTGGAGAGAGTTCCGGGGGTCAACGCCCCCGCGGCCCGGTCTGTGACCAGGCCTCCTTAGGTCAGTGTCCCAGGATGCGACCCACACCAGCCCGACTAACACCCAGTACCCCATTTTACTGATGGGGAACATAGACAACAGGTGGAAAGAAACACGTCCAATGTTTCTACTCTGGCTGGGAATCGAACCCAGGCCCTCACCGTGTGAAGCGAGAGCGTTAACCACCAGGCCACCAGAGCCCCTAACAACACTAACAACAATGTTAACACCAACAATGTTTACACCAACGACACTGTTAACAATAGCAACAATGTTAACCCCAACAGCAATGTTAACATTACAACATTAACAAGAACAACAACAATGCTAACACCAACCACGATGTTAACACCAGTAACAATGTTAACACCAACAACGGTGTTAGCATTACAGGAATGTCAACACCATGAAAAAATGTTAACACCTGCAACAATGTTTAACACCTTCAACATTGTTAACATTTCAACAATCTTTACACTAAGAACAATGTTAACACAAATAACAATGTTAAAACCAGCAACAGTGGAAACAACAACAACAGTGTTAACACCAACAGCGATGTTAACACCAACAACGATGTTAACAACAAAATGTTAATAACAACAATGTTAACACTAGCAACGATGTTAACACCAGCAACAATGCTAACACCTACAACGATGTTAATATACAACAATGTTATCAACAACAACGATGTTAACATTAAACAATATTTACAACAACAATGTTAACATTACAGCAATATTATTAACAACATACATACTAACACCAACAACAATAATGTTAACACCAACAACGATGTTAACATCAGCAACAATGTTAACAAGAGCAATGTTAACACTAACAATAAAGTTAACACCAGCAACAATGTTAACACCAACAACAATGTAAACATTACAACAATATTAGCAACAACAACAATGTTAACACCAACAACAATGTTAACACCAACAACGATGTTAACATGAACAATATTGATACAATCAATGATGTTAACAATAACAGTGATGTTAACACTAACAACGATGTTAATACCAGCAACAATGTTAACACCATGAACGATGTTAACATCAACAACGATGATAACGATATCAACAATATTAACACCAACGACGATGTTACCACCAACAACGATGCTCACAACATCAACAATGTTAACACCAACAACAATGTTTACTCCAACGACACTGTTAACATTAACTACAGCGTTAACCCCAACAACAATGTTAACATTACAACATTAATTAGAACAACAATATTAACACCAACATCAACAATGTTAACACCAACCACGATGTTAGCATTACAATGTTAACACCAAGAATGATACTAACACCATCATTGTTGTTAACACCAACAACACTGTTATCAATAACAGTGTTAACATTACAACAATATTAATACCAACAATAATGTTTATTCGTGTAATGTTAAGATAAAGTTAATGTTATCATATACAGTAACATTTCTAACATTAACAATAACTCACCGATGCTGCAGCAGGTTGTTAGAAGTGGTGGTTGTGTCAGCATGTTTATAGTGGTGCCACAGTAGCAGGTGTGTACAGTAGTGGTGGGTGAGGGCAGCCAGCAGGTCAGGTAGGTCAGGCAGGTCACCAGGGTCACCATCAATATCAATCTCCACCTGGCAGGAGCTGAGGTGTGGTAGGAGAGCAGCGCAGCTTCTCACACGATCATCACTTACGTAAATTGTTTCTTCAGTATTGAATAAGTGAGCTATTTCTTTGAGAATTACTGAAGACATCTTAGTGTTGTCAAGGAGGTCGAGCCACTGGTTGTTGTGTCTCATACCAGAATCTTGTAGGAGATGAACCACTTCCCGTGCAGGTGCTTCAGGTACCTTATCTAGTACCAGGTGCAGCAACCCAACCAAATGTATCAGAACATTCTGGTACTTGTTCATGTCTACCACACCTGACCTGATGCTCTCTTCCAGCACTCTCTCAATACTGACAGGTGTAGCTGAGGCAAGTGTAGCTGAGGTAGGTGTAAGTGTAGAATACTGTGGGTTATTAAGATTGCTCACAATATAGAGAGCAGCGAAGTAATCTTGTATTCCCTTGTGAGGAGCTGAGTACCGCTCCTTGATCCCCAGCACCGTCCATGTTGGTCTTAAACAAAGGAACGCTGACAACACTTCTTTATAAGGTAAACACAATTGCTTACAGGTTGTTGTCAGTTGATCTACAGTGTTTACTTCAAAATTTAACTGATCAAGTGAAAGAGTTTCCAGTGATGTCTTGTATATATGCATTAACATTATGTTTATGTTGTCAGTTAAATCCTTGTCATCCATATTCTTTGTAGCTTCATGGTTGGTCAGTCTCTCTATTAATTTGTGTTTACACAGTTTATGAATATTATAATAGAGCTCCGTGTGAGTGAGAGATGTTAAGTTTAGCTGGTCAGGGTCGTGGTCCCAAATATATATCATAAGAATCAAATTCATTGGTAGTCTTAAGTGTTCATGAAGTTCTTTTAACTTTATCACCTTATTTTCTAGCTCTTCAGTATTTCTGTTATTCCCTGTTTGTTTGGTTATCTCCTGGTGGTTCATACGCACGAATTGTGCTAAATTTGTCCTAGATATACCATGTAGTGTTGCATGTTGCACAGTATACTCTGCAGGGATTGTTCTCCTAAAGTTCTCAACTCTTTCTGGTCGTGAAGTGCACAGAAAAACAATGTTAGAACAGTACTTAAATTCTTGCAATAGACTCTGGACTAGTCTTCTAGAACTTTCATTGTCTTCATCAAGGCCGTCGATTATAATTAAGATCTTGCAAAGCTTCATCAGTTTCGGAAGAATTTCCTTGAATTTTATAGCTACTTCTGGCATCAGTCGGTCCAGTAGTTGTTGGTAGCAGGTCATTGTTGGGTCCCGGCACTGTACCCACAATAGAAGATCGTAATTATCTAAGCCACTAATATTACCTTTACCACCCTGAGTCCATTCATCAATTACTAACTTCACTAGAGTAGACTTGCCACTGCCAGCCAGACCTTCAAGCAATATTATATGTGGGTGAGAGGATATACCTTGTTGTTGTGAGACAGTGCTTGTAAATGATGGTACTGCTGTAGTCTGAACAAGTTTAAGAAGGTGTTGATAACTTATATGTTCACCTTCACCTCCACGTTGTCCATGTTTGACCTCAATATCTACAAAGATTTTGTCTACTTTAAGTTTCAAGTTACTAGTGATAAAAGACACTGGGTTGACATAGCTGATACTTTGAAAGACCTCATTAAGTTTGTCACGACTGTCATTAATCATGAGACTTTTCATTTCATCACCACAAAATGTTAGTATGTCTTGTTTTCCAAGACTTTCCTTCATGATGTTGTCCAGTTCATCATTCATCTGCTGGATCTCTTCCTTCACTTCAGCCTGGTCTCTCCCATACCTCTCTCCAGATGTCTTAAGACAACCAGTTAACAACTCCCGCAGTTTCATCATATTTTCAAAATAAACTTTATTAGTAATTGTAAGTTGACCATGAAGACAATCATTTCTCATGTTCTTAATAGCAGTAATGTAGTACTCCATCTGTGTACTGGTGGTAAACCATAGTGGATCACTGTATGGAGCTGCAGTTTTACACGCTACTTTGATGCTAACATACAGTAGTGACACATCAAACTTTGATCCATCAGCATTCTCATCAATCAATTTTTTTTGAGTGCTGTTAAAAATTTTCATTGCATTGTCTCCTTGTGAGGTTATCAAATAATGCTTCAGCGTCATGTCAGAAGGTTTATCCTGGGTTCCCCAGAGGAAAGTCTTGTACAAGACTTTTCTGCCACACGATGTAATAGCCTTGGCAAGTCTATATCCATTAAGATCTTCCTTAGATGAATCACCCATCATGTATTAACACATGTGTGGAATAAAAGTGTGATGGATGACCTGATGTTGTGTTACAACACTAGAGGGTTGGAAGACTTGCACTGATGCTGCGTTACAACACTTGTACTAATGTTGTGTCACAACACAACATTTCATGGTGGCAACAGCGGCACTGATGTTGTGTTACAACACTTGATGGTAGCAACACTTGTACTGATGGAGTGTCACAACACAACACTTAATGGTGGCAACACCTGCACTGTTGTCTTACAACACAGTACTTGATGGTGACAAAACCTGCAATGTGCCACAACGCAACACTTGATGGTGGCAACACTTGTACTGATGTGTCAAAACGCAACACTTAATGGTGGCAACACTTGTACTGATGTTGTGTAACAACACAGCACTTGATGGTGCCAACACTTGTACTGATGTTGTGTTGCAACACAACACTAGATGGTGGCAACACCTGTACTTGCGTGTTACAACTTATCACAAGATGGTGGCAACACTTGCACTTCTCTCTTCTTATCTGAAATAAAATAAAGTTTAACAGTATTATAAGTGATGTAACATGTACACTACAAGTGACAGACTGTAACATGTATAATATTACAAGTGTCAGACTGTAACATGTATAATATTACAAGTGTCAGACTGTAACATGTATAATATTACAAGTGTCAGACTGTAACATGTATAATATTACAAGTGTCAGACAGTAACATGTATAATATTACAAGTGTCAGACTGTAACATGTATAATATTACAAGTGTCAGACTGTAACATGTATAATATTACAAGTGTCAGACTGTACATGTATAATATTACAAGTGTCAGACTGTAACATGTATAATATTACAAGTGTCAGACTGTAACATGTATAATATTACAAGTGTCAGACTGTAACATGTAATAATATTACAAGTGTCAGACTGTAACATGTATAATATTACAAGTGTCAGACTGTAACATGTATAATATTACAAGTGTCAGACTGTAACATGTATAATATTACAAGTGTCAGACTGTAACATGTATAATATACAAGTGTCAGACTGTAACATGTATAATATTACAAGTGTCAGACTGTAACATGTATAATATTACAAGTGTCAGACTGTAACATGTATAATATTACAAGTGTCAGACTGTAACATGTATAATATTACAAGTGTCAGACTGTAACATGTATAATATTACAAGTGTCAGACTGTAACATGTATAATATTACAAGTGTCAGACTGTAACATTATAATATTACAAGTGTCAGACTGTAACATGTATAATATTACAAGTGTCAGACTGTAACTGTGGGGAAAAATTTCAATAGATTTTAGTATTATTTTTATTTTATTATAATCAAAGGGGTAAGCGCAAAACCCGGGGGATTATCCCGCGCCTGGGGGGGATGGGAAAGGGCATTCCGGGGCTTAATTCGGGGAAACCCGGGAGCACAGATCCTTCCCAAAAATCAAGACCCCCCTCCCCCAAAACATAAAGGAAACCCTTTCCCTGAGTTTTCAATAGATAGGAGTAGCTGGGGATTGTAAAAAACCCAATATTTTTCTTTGCCGGCTACTTTTTTAAGGTTTTTTTTTTATTTTTTTTTAAAAACATTACAATAAAAGGGTTTGGAAATTAAAAAAGGGGGCAAAAATGAGTTAAATCAAAAATTCCCCAAATTCACCTTTACAAAAATGATTAAAAAACAAAAAAAAAATTTTTGTGACACCCTAACACCACACACCAATCCCCATTTAAAACCAAATTTTATATACCTGTTGGGCCTGAAACTTTACCACTTTTTTTTCACCCCCCCCCCTCCCTCCCCGCAAAATAAAACCCCAACCCCAAACCCTTTGACTGCATCCTTAACTTAACATTAAAGGATACATAGGAATTTTAACACTATAAATAGTGATGCAGTAACATCTTAGACACAAAAATTTTTAATAACAAAAAAGGGGAATACATGTCTTTATTTAAACCACAATGACACCCAACCTGGTAAAAAGGAACCCCAAAAGTTTAAATTTTTTTCTAAAAGGTTGCAACAATGAATTTCAACCCAAAGGCAATTTTATGTGCTTTTAAATCTTACCATGAAAACCCCTTTTCCATGCAACATAATATAAAAATAAAATTTTATTTTAAAGAAAAACATCACAGAATAAAAGGTAAAAAGTAAAAACCCCAGCCTTTGTAGCGGCTACACGCAAAAAATCCACATCCCTTCCCTAACACACAAAAAAAAAATTTTTTGTGAAAAAACTGCCCCAAAACACAACTCAAAATCACTACTTAAGACTGCAAATTAATATATAACATAATAATACGACTTTAAAAAACGGGCTTGTACAAAAGATAACATAATAAAAAGGGCCCTTAAGACGCTATGTACATAGAAAACAACTAATAATAAGGTTTTAAACTGCTATGTACATAGATAACAACATAATAAAAAGGTTTAAAGGGCCCTTGCTATTCCATAGATAACAACATAATAATAAGGCTTAAGATTTCTAGGTACATAGTAAAAAAAACAAAATTTATGACTTAAGACTGCTATTTACATAAAAAACCCAAAAAAAAATCAATTTGGATGGACACAGTTGATCAATCAGCCTTCACAAATCAGACGTTGGGAAGTAATTCCTTTAGTACAACCCAAGTCCAACTTGCGTGTAGCCCCTCTTGCTACATACAAAATATGTGTATTATCTACACAAAAATACTATAACAAAACCTGGACAAGCAACTGTCCATCACTTCCAAAAAAAAAACTCCCCCTACCCCTAAACTCTGCAGAGTGATGTGGGCAAACCCCCCCCTTTGAATCCCTTTTATCCACATTCACTACTACCTTGAAGGAACATGATACTAAAAGAATAGTGAATGGGTCCATGACACCCCAAAAACGGGCCGGGCCTCCACAGGTCAGAAACCCCCTTTGGGTTTCCATACTTTAAATTCACTCACGAATCACCCCACCAAACACACAGCAAACTTTTGTTTTTAAAACCTTACCAGGGAGGTGACCCGTTTTCCCCCCAAGACTTCCCTACCCCAGCAAAAACTTTCCAATGGGTACCCTCCCCCCCCTTTAATTATTACAAGTCTAATAAAACCGTAACTAAGTTAAAAAATATCCCTCTAAAAAAATCCCTCACCCCCCCTCCTTCCCAAAAATTTCCTTATTTTTTACATACCTTTTTTATAGAACTTACCGCTAACCCCCCTCCTCTTCACCCTCACTAACCCCGTTTTCCCACAATTCCCACAAAATAAAATTTTAAATTCTGCCCAAAAATTCCCCCAAGCTCTGATTAACTTTCCCCCCAAACCCCCCACGTTCGAGATTTAAAATGCTCTCAATACAAAAAATTCCTTGATCTCCTATCCAAATTACCCCCCAATTTAACCACCCCTTAAACCTCCTCAGTCCGCACAAAAATAACAAATTTAAAAGCCGACTCCTCCCCACCCAATTCCCACACTCCCCCCCGTCAACGCCTCGTCCAAATCCCGTAAACCCACACCCGAGGGTAAAATGCCGTGCAAAAAAAAACGATACATTACATCCCGAACACGAGGTTTAAAACCTCATCCTACTCAACCTTTTTTCCATATACTTCCCCATGCATAATGGGGAAAATTCCCTCTACATCCCGCTAAACAACCCCCCCGGCTAACAACTACACAACCTACCTTTTTTAAAACCTTTGCGGGCCCCCAATACCCTTCCAGAGCCCTAAAAACAGTTTCACACTAAATTGCAACTAAACTCCTGAATAAAATCCTTTGCAATCTTTTTAGGGAATCCTGGCCAAACCCCCCCCCACCCACATTTTTCCCTCATCACCCCCCTTTTTTAAATGAAGACACTTTTGACCCTCCCGCTTTAAGCCCCGCAATCCCCCCCCCCCCCCGACTTACAGGTAAAAAAACCCAAACGCCCCCTTTTAATCCAATCAAAAGCTCGAACCCCAAAAAATTTTAAAAACCTTCCTAAAAATTTTCGTTTTTTTCTGTCCCAGTTAATGGGAACAGGGCTCCCACGGGCCAAACTTTGCTTACAGTAAGATATTAAAACAATGGCACCCCGCACAAGGGTTTAAATGAAAAGGGCCCCAAAGGTACCCAAGCGTCCCTGAATCCTTTTTTCCCAACCCTAACCCGATTTTTTCCAGGGTTTGCCACATTTTAGATCGTCTCCCATAAATAAGACCGCAAATTTTTAAACGAATTCCCCCGGGCCCCCTTTCACAACGGGCACAAAACCCCAAAAAACCCCTTTCCCTGCCCAAGTTTCCAAACCCCCATGCCCCAGGATTTACCCTAATTTTTACCCTCAAAACCATTTTTCCCCTCCCGAACTTTCGTACTACCCCATCAAAATTGTCCCATTGACATCCCCCTCCCTGATCAGAACATTTGAACCCATCCACATACCCAATTAAAACGGGCCCAAAACCCTAAAAAACCTCACACCCTTTCCCCTACGGCCCACAAAACGCTGCTCCTTTCAATCTATAAAAGGGGTCCGTACGCACGCAAAAATAATTGTGCATAGGACCCCCCTCCAAAGCCCCGACCCAATACAATCCCCCCACCCAATCGACCTTTAAAACGTACCCCCCCAAATTGCACCCTTCCAACCACCTAAAACCCAACCCACTATTTCTTCCCCAAACCCCCTGACCCCTGAGGATGGTTTTCAATGTTTTTCTGATCCACTCAAAATCGTATCCCCCTTGCCAATCAAACCCGCCACCAAACCTCCCCCCCCCCCCCCCCTTTTGCCTCCACGAAATCCCTAAGTAACCCCCCCCCGCCCCTCCACCATAGACCCCCTGGCAAACCAAACTATTTTTTTGATCCCAACCCCCCCCCACCAAAACACTTAAACCCCGTTTCCCCAAAAAATTTTCCCCAAACTTTTGGTAATTTTCCGCAAAACAACGAATCGCCCAGTAATCCCGAAGCAATGCTCCCCCTTTAAACCCTTGGGAAACCAATACAACGACAGCCATTGCCTGTTTCTCACCCAGCTCACCCTCTCTCCTTCATGCCCTTTTAATTTAACCCAAAACCCAAAAAAAGCCTCAATTTAAAAACCCAAAGCTGCTGATAAAACTCTGCCAGGGGGCCATCAATTTTCCCCGGGGCTTTTCCCTTTTTTTGGGATTCCACTTTAAAACCCTCCATATTTCCCCCCTCAGTTTTTTTCCCCCCCCCC